TGTAATATTTTATTGCAATTTATATTTATGCTTAAAATTACTTTTTAAGTTTAATTACTTACTACATTCTTGACCTTGAAGAAAATAAGAATATATATATACCTTCTTGTTAGGTTAGTTTGTAAGTTTTCTAGCTAAGGTATTACTTGTTTTAAAAGTAGATTTCAAGATTACCTATTCAGAATTTAATTCTGGAAATTGGTTGTGCTTATCTTACTGCAAAATCTTATCCAACTAGTGATAATCAGGCTCTACCTTTGCTAATGGTTTATAATGAAGCTAATTTGAACAATGGAATATTATTCATAGCTATATTTAGTACTACACAGTTAGTGCACATATGTCAAAATAAATATGTCTCTGTAAAAATTATAATGATTCAGTATAAGAATTAATTTATGTAAGTATGTATGTACAGGTTACGTACGTGTGAGTCAATATTACGTTTTGAGTCACTGTTCGTTTTCCTTGAATGAATGAACAATCGTAGTTTTGGTATGCAGCGCCTACAACGTGTATTAGTACCTCTGGGTGGTTAACTTGAGCTTTATGTATCAATGTTCTATAACGCACACAGACCGACTATGATATTAAAAGTAAAATAATGGGTCTTTTGCATTATTTGATTCAGTGGTGCCCTTTTTAGTCAATAGAAAAAATAAAGATTTGGATAATTGTTTGTGCGATACCTCATTGCCGAAATGTATGCCCTGAAAGTTGCTTTGCCAATATAACATATTTTTTAAAGTTTTCTTCAAAATAATTAAATAAAACATCGAAATAAATCTACATAAACCAAGCCACATGCACTATAAGCAACTTCCAGTTAAATGCTACAGGATAGGGCAGTAATTTGTAGTGTTTAAAAGTCAAAACTTTTATCTGTCGGGCGCTGCGAGGCGTGTGGGATGCGTAGGCTGTCATGACCTTGCGCCCGCGCCGCTGCCAGACAACTGGCATTGGCGTGCCATGCAGAACCTAATATGGCCTAAATTGGTGGCAGGGTTTCTTCAACATACACAAGTACTTATACATGTTTGCTAATGGACAAATGCATGTTTAAAGAACTAGTTAGGACCATGTATTTCATTTAATTCAAGCCAATTTAATCGGTATCAGTCCAAATGGCATTTAGCTCCAATTATGCGTTATTCAAGGTTATGTTAAGTTTATCAAATGTCGTTCACTGTAGAACGGGTCCTAAGTTTATTAACTTTTTGCTGGATTCGTTTAGGAGCTCTAATATGTTTTTGCGAGGATTCTAAAACTGGATTAGGCTCAATGTGGTTAAGAGCCCGTTTCACAATGTCTGAATAGCCGCTAGGGTCAAGATAAATTTTGAATATGGAACATAAACAAATTACGTTCCTTATTTAAAATTTTGAATTTGGTGAAACACAATTTGGTGAAACACACCCTTAGTGATTTTATATTAATAGGAACTCGTTTAAAAACAGAGTTGAGACATTTTTTTACTTAATGAAGAATATTCGCTATCACATACAAAGTTACAAAGTACTATGTAAAACACAGTCTAAAGTTACCAAAGGTATTGTTTTCAGTTAACTATTAGTTTAACTAGGTTATGACTAGTTGTTAATGCAAAACTTGTAGTCTACTGTTGTGTAATTTGGTGTCCAGTATGCTATTATGATCTATTATTAAGAAAACCGATTGTCTGAGGTTGAAAACTGAGAGGACTAAGGAGAATGGGTAATTTGATACAATAGCCAATATAACTACTTTATATTGAAATGTTATTGGCAGGTTATATTTCAAAAAGGATCGTTGGTATTCAATCCCTCGTTAAATTCGTTTAAGATCAAGTTTCTGAATACCATTTATAGCATAGGACATAAAATCAAAATGTGTCTAAGTGCTTATTTATTTTTATTATTTATACATATATACTTTATTGCACACATACGAGTACTTACACTAAAGTCTAAAATGTTTATGTCGGATAAAATAGAAGAATGTTGTAATTACAATAGGCAGTCTTATCACATAAGGTGATTTCTTCAAGAGTATTTAGCTTTCGTATTTCTAGGTATTTAAGAGTGGTGGGAAAATATGAGGCGTTAGACAAAATAAAAATACCGTAAATGTTACTCTAACATATATTTGCTCGTAATATCTACGCTAATATAAATTTGTTGGTTCTTTAAGTTAGATTGTTACAAAAGTCACACATCCCTAGGAAGGGAAGTGTTTGTTTAACCGTGATGTCAACTAACGACCTAAATAAATAACTAAACTCAATTCGAAACTTTTACATTGAGATCAATACTTAGTTATGTATTAGTTGGACAGAAGTTCTATTAAAAAAAATGATCAACTTAAATCGATTTTGGACTAATATCGGTTGTAAATTTCGAGTGCTAGTAGGTTTACTTGAGATTTCAAATACAGAATAATAAAATAATACCTTAAATATTTGAGTAAGATTTGTTGTGCCCAATGATTTTTCAGCGTATTATTAGTTTTTACGAATAAATGCAAATTCTAAAATTAAAATGCCCTGTTTGACCACCATTGTAATCACAATATTCTTCTATTTTATCTAAAATGTGTTTTCAATGACGTTTGTTAAAATTCGATATTATCAGTTGGAATACGTCCATAGCTGTTAAAAAAAGACTTGAGAGGATAGTTGCCCTAATATATACGCTATTGGCTAGCAGCTTGCAGATAACAATTTAGGTAGCCTAATTTATAGGGTTCATTGATTTAATGTGGCCAATTTTGGATTTTTGTCTTATCGTTTAATTTCGTTTTTAAAACTATTTGTTCAGAGTATTCTTTGAAAAGCTGTCATATATGTATAAGCTAATTAATAAATAAAATATGCATATACGCTTTGTCGGAAATGAGAATGTTTTAACATTTTGGTATTAATGTAGGACTTAACTTCCGCTAATTTTGCGCGGGAAACTGATTAGTTATTAACATTATGCAAAGCTGCGTATTTCGGTGACATTTGAATTAAATAATACATAATTCATTAGTTTTCTAATTAAGTAGCGTATGTGAAACATGAATTAAGCTATTTAGGTGAACGCACTAACATTTATCCATTGTATGAATAACTTTTCATTTTGTAGCTAACAAGAGAAATGACTATATTAATGAATCACAATAGAAGTGTGCAATTTTCATTGACAATTTAACAACTTTCATCAACGAATTAGTAACAATTTTCGTTTTTGTTTTAATGTGTGACATTAACATTTCAGATTTAAAATATTGTAGGTAATAGGTATATGAAAAAGATCGTAAATTCGAATTCTATCTAGTTTTTCGTTTAATTGTTTTTAGTGTTAGACATCCTTGTACTTATTACCGAACCGCTGTAGCATTCCTCTTATAGTATTTTGCCAAAAGTTATAGATAACGCATTGCGTCTAAAAAATGATCGATCGATTGTTTTCAACTGGTTTGTCTTGAGACAAGTCCAAAGGCCCTCATTTATACAAAGGTCCAAAACCCCTTCATGTTTAGTAGATCTGATTCACAATCCAGAATTATTATAATTAAATGTTTTTACCAATCGCGGGGGCAGAGGTGCTGGTGTCTATTTTTGAGAAGTACGAGGGGCCTAAGCCAATTTTACAGAGGAACTTTAGACAACTTTAAACTTAAATTAAATTGTTATTTAACGGTATAGAAGTAAGTAATGTTATTCTAATAAAGTATCTTAAAAATATTCCAATTATAAGACAAGTTAGTATTGTTTTTCTATTCTGAGATCGAAACCGGATTAGATTATGGACTTTAATCTAATAATAATACGGTTTGTAGTAAAGAATGTGTCATACTAATATTTACACAAAGCATATTCATTAAACAATATTTATCTGAGAATTAATAAGGTTTTATTAATAAACATTGAATGGGACACATTGAAGGACGTTGTAGTACTTATAAATGATGACAATGATAATAAAAATAGTTATAAAGCAGAGGCGTATACTGGGCAGGTATTTGTACAGCCGGCAGCTGATCAACCTTACTCCTCCTCATTTACATAGCACACTCATTGTGCCTACATACCCGATCTGTACATACATTGTGCCCCATATTTGCTCATGGCATTTGATTAAACACGTAGAGTCATGGTGTGAAGCTCTTTTATACGAGATGTAGGTTACAAGATGAGTTACGTTCACGTACATAACATCTATTACAACAGTTACCCACGTAATGTAACGACAGAACTAATTTATAGCACACAAACGAATCTCTTTGATTCCTTGTTACACTGAATCATCTAACATTACTTCCAATTAAGTTACGGAGAACTAGGTAACTGAATAAATTACGTACGTTTATGCAATCGAATTTATGAGTGTATGAGTGCAGCTCTTTGATAGTGTTACAAAATAAAAGATAAACAATGTTCATTTGTAGTTTTTAGTAAAACTCTAGCTATCAATTTTGTCAAGGCTGTGCTAATGGGTCGGCATTTAAAGTACTTTCGTTAGTCGGTCAACGACAATTAGGTAACATTTATGTACAGTTCTAGTTTTGCGCCAATGATATAACCTGAGATAACACGAGCTTTGCCGGCCAGGACTTTGCTTTGGTACGGCAAACTTGATATCAAAGATTAAAGTGCAACACGCGATTCATAAATCATTTATCCGAGCGACTTTGAAGTCATCGTAGAGGTCCGTTAATCATTATTTTTTCTTGTTCTATTGTGTTGTGATGACGACATTTAGTTATTAGCGCGGAATAAGAGCCCATGCTCTTGTGATGTTGCAGTACAAACAGCTATGGGTTCTTGGTGCATACAGTGTTGATAATAATGTGCATGATGTATGATAATGCGGCGTGTTAGAGTTGTATGGGGCACTTTGTTACCTGTGCGTGCGCAGTCGCCAGGAAGGCGCCGGCGAGGAGGCTGAGCACTGGCCACATTGTTTCACTTGTCAGTTGATGGTTGTCAGTAAGATAGTTGTCAGTTTGACAGGAGTTGCGCGAGATGTCAGCGCGGCATGGCGGACCGGTCTGCGCGGCGCACGGAGCAACACTGCGCCGCCACTGCCATACCGAGTTTACTTTCTGTAAGCGGCAGCGTTCACACCAACAGCCACGGTCGCTGTCCTCTCTTTACCATTATGTCTTTAACTGTAAATACTCAGAATTATAGGGTTTCTGAGAAAGAGAGAGTATTGAAGACTAGCGAATAATCGGTTTTTGATTGACTGTGTATATTCACATAAAAATTATGTCCTACATTTTGAAACACAAAAATGAACAATGTACCTAGTTCTGACTGCAGCCAGCCAAAATATCAATAGCCATTCATACCTTAGCAGGTCCGAAAAAATATGTCATTATGGTAGGAACGGGAGTATGGCGTTAATTCAGGACAAAGGGATATAAAAATTAAAAAAAATAAGCCGTAGTAGGGCTCCAGTGTGAACGCACAGCTGCTACGCAACGTTGCGTCGCGCGTCGGCGGCCGGCAGCGGCAGGCGTTACGACACACGCCCACACCTGCACCACACCATACGTAACACACACTCACACACATACGCCATGCCACAGGTATACCACACCGATCCCGCCGATAATATTCGAACCAACCTTTTATTTCTCCTTTTCGCATACGAACTCGAAGACAGAAAAAGCTGGATTGAAGTTGAACTAACCACGTTTTATGTGTCTCATAAAAACTTAAACTGGCACGTTTCTGAGTGCTAAAAGAAAGAGTTGTAGCATTGTTTTCGAGAATTATTGTTATACCGATATTATTGCTACGAAGTTAGGCGGCGTAGCGCACACATTAGAATTCAACGCGCTCGTCCGCGGTGCTGTCTATTTATTTATTTTTTTCTTTATTCAGATATCTGGCGATGCTTTTTTATTTATAAATATATTATGATCATTCTGGTTTATGTACTATATTTAACTATTTATCAAAATTTTATATAAACATAAACAATGTCAATAAGTCAAACATGTTTCAAATATCATCTTACTGTACAGTTTTATCACTAGGTTACAAACCAAAGTATACACTTGAAGTTAGGTCATAAAATTACGTTTTATGAAGGGTTTGAAGTTTTAACTAAAGATCATGTTGGCGCATAAATACACCCCTTATTACAAAGCAACGATGTTGAAATAGCTACAATAAAGATTTTATCACTTATTTACATTTAAGGTCATCAATCAACTTCAATTAAACTAAAACTATAATTGTTGATTAAATTAGGTGTGTGATCGTAGACAGGATATAAACAACAACAAAGGTTTAAACATTAAGGTCAAGGTTGTCACGCCATCTATTGGTAAGTGAGCGTAGCTGCAGAAGGTTCTTGTTCAGTGTCCGCGAGAGGTGTAGATGTCACCACTGCGGCGGGGGCACGTTGCCGCCCAAAATCAATATCAGGGGAGTGTGGCGTGCGCCGTCCCGCCGATTTTCACCAGTGTTTCAGGAGGCACCCCTACAGCCCACATTTCATACAGTTACACGCGCAACCAGTGCTTTATAAGCGGATTCCTCGCATCATCGGAGTTATCCCTATAATCTGTAAGTAATTATTATAAAACCATTTATACCCATTAAAAATATTTCATCATAATTTTAGATGCATTACGAGACACAAATTCATTCATTAATCCCTAGATATGTGGCGACTAGGTTGAAAGTGTTACGACACAGACAATTGAGAGTCGGTATATAGGACGGGTTGTGACCTCGAAGGGCGGAACTGTTGCCTTTACAAATTAAAACTGTAATTAACGATTTATTTATTAAAAAAACGAAAAAGATTTATAGTTTCAGATACCGTTCTCCGGAACTTTTAACTACTGTTAATGTGGTAATTTGCTTGCAATCAAATAAAAGGATGTTTATATTGTGTAAAGTTAAATTATAAAATAAATAATTATACTTGTTCAAAATAATTGTATGTTTAACTGTCCATTTTTATTTACTGGTAATATTGTCCATTTATCGTTTAATCACTAAAGTAATTGAGAATCTATTTTGAGCGATAAAAATTGATGGGCTGTGTGTGTATTTATAACCTAGTTATTATAGATTTGAATTCAGATTAACTGATATAAGCATGGTATAACGTGCTAACGAGCTTCTGTGAAATATGTAGTGTCACACATTTACGGGAACATTTTTAGGGAGAATAAAATCGATGCTCGACAATACTTGAACACAGTGGAAACGGGAATCGCTGAATGAGCATTTCAATTTCCTGTGGGACTCGTAACGAGCTAGAAATATCTTTGATTGTATTTCGCATTGTTCTAGAAAACAAGAAAGGTTTATTTATTAGGTTTACCAATTTTGTCATGACTAATATAAAAATGCACATACGTGTGTATGTATTTTTGAAAACAGTTTCTAAGATTCTGTTTATTCCAATTTTAAACTTGAAATGACGGAATTCATCAACATGAATGTGTTAGTATTCATATAATATGCTTACAGTCGATGGACCCGCAAATGCCCCGGGGTATTAACTATAGAGTGAGGGAAAGTTATTTTACGTAACCTCCAGGGAGGAAGAATAGCAATTTTTATGCATTACTTTTATATTCTGTTAGGAGACAATTCAGATGAGACCTTTCTAACGAGAAATTGTTGAAAGATAGGCAATAAAATTTCTTAACGAAGTCTACTGAATTCAGAAAGGCATTGGCGGTCGGTCGACAGCATTTAGTGGGCAATTACTCGGTGTTCCGAACTAGCTGTTACGTTTTATTAGTTCGAAGATATCCCACAGGCCACATGAGACGCATTCTACATAGTTAATGACGGCATTACGAGCGCGGTTAACTATCGAACTTTATTACTTTATTGCCTTATAAAAACGTTTTGTACGTGTTTTCAATTATATTCTTATTGTTGCTGCTACGTACTTAGATTTGTACTACAAAGATTCTCGCAACTCCTGCCGTATAACGACTAGCAAAGAGTGGTACACGCGAACTTAGCATTACTTACAGCGCTGTTGTACAGTGATGTCAGCATGAAATATCGCTACCGAAGATCGTAACTCGATGTGTTCACGAAGCTCATGTTTTTGGTCTGTAAATGTAGTTGTACAATGTGAAGGTAGGTAGTAGTAGCTATTGTTTGCGTGCCAACTTAATGCTGAATCACGTAGCCGGCTGTTTGTGAATGTGCCAGCATTAGGCACCCGAGTCCTAGGATCGATCCTTGCATAGCACTACGACGTCACAGGATTGGCTGCCTGCCAGCTGCTGCCTAGCCTCTGTTTATATACGCCATTATTATTTATTCGCGGGTGGACAGTGAACACGTTCATATTTCATACTTATTTTTTGTTTACTGTAATATCTTTTCTAAACATTTTAGTATTTTGTCCAAACTTATTTATGAGATTACGCAAATTAGCGTATTCAATTAATCATAATAAATCAGAGGGTAATTTAGGCTGCGGCCTCTGAATATTTTTGGATACCTTTCCAGGCGCACCTTTTTAACATTTCGGACCCTTTCATGCTGGAGTGCCTCAATTTAAAAATCATTATTAATGGTTGCGTGAACATTGTGAATGTTTAAGCTGAAGGTTTTGTTTTTATTTCCTTCAAAAATTGTTTTTTATTTTTGAAAAAGACGAGGAAGTAATCTTTCTTTCGTAAATATTTTATCTATTTAAGAAAAGAGAAATTGTTATGTACCTACTTAGTGCATATCGTTTTATTAGCTAAGGATTTATAACAAAAGGTTTTTAAAAGACCCCGAGTTATAGCTTTATGGAATAAAACCATTCTAACGTATAGAATTGTATAAAACAGTTGAAAAGGGTTGTAACGCGCCCCCTGAGGTCACGGCTGATGTAGCGCCTCCAAAATCATTGCCCAAAACATTAGCAGCTGCAAACCCAACATTTGGAACCCTCGGAGACCTCTATTCCATTTTAGCATTTATATTGTATAGGATAAAGAACGCGGTTATTCAAAAATGAGTTTCGAATATTGGAAAAGTATACAATAAAATAAATCATTTTCTAAATGGATTTTTTTTGACTACATAATTTAGATTCTCGATCCGAGTTAATTACATTAAAAAAATATCTAAAAGCCTTTATTTTTTTAAATTTAAGAATATAAATGTTCAGTATTGAGTAGGGGGAAAGTAGAAACGTCTGAATCCGAATATAGGTAAGTGAATGGCCCAATAATAGGTTAGAGGGTGGGTTGGTTACGTAACGGGCGACGCGACGCGATGGCCGCTCGAGGGACGAACGCTGGCTCCCCGCCAGCGAACCGCCAACGTGACTCGAACTGCCACAAAACTTATCAAACGAGAGCACCAACACAGTGCCAAAAACTAGTGAAACGTTTACCCAAACCACCCAATTCATTAACCGTTCAACAAGCGTCCTTTAATTAAATTCTACGAAATTGAGAACTGGCCTACTGCTTAAGCTGTTGCTTTTAACATGCTTATAGATTAACATATAATGTTATTTAAAAACGTAATAGATATAAGAAGTAACGTATCCAATTTCGAATACCGAAAATCAAGTATAACTTATAGCCTATAGCACTCAGGAGCATTGAATAGTTATCTATCAGTGAAAGAATTTTGGGAATAAGACCAGCGGTTCTAAAGATTATCCTCTCCAAAAACTTATAAATTTTACCTTTTTATAATATTAGTGTAGATAATGTAGCACCATATAAATAACTACATTTTCCTTTATTTAGTCGTTTGTGACTTGCCAACTAATTTTCGGGGTATGGAAATGTGATGTAACGTTATATACCTACCTAAGAAAATACAATGAAAAATTATATAAAAATGACAGATTCCAAATTCAAATGTAATATTTTGTTTATTTTTAATTGTAACAGTATTTATGGCCAGACTATGTATATTATGTATATACTCGTACGTTCACGTTAATCCACTGCTAGGTTTTAATAAATCATACAGTTTTAGTTGGAAAGGTCAAAAGTATCGCAATATTTCAGACCAACTGGCATCCCGCAAAGGGATGTTTTAATCCCAGACTGAATACACAAAACATTAGCTACATAAACTTCGAGATAGCGGTTGATGGTTGACATTTAGGCTCAACCAACCCAAGAATAAATTATTCCAAGTGTAGCTTTACTTTATTCAAGTTCACTAACCAAATACAAATTTAAGAAAATGTTAATACTAACCAAATAATGTTTATTACATGTATATAGTTTATAGTTTTAAATAATATTTAATATCATTGCAGAGATTGTTTTTAATAGTACAGTATTTACAAAAGTGCCATTTAAATCCTGCATACATATTTATTTGCTGACAAAATAATATTGACGACAATGACTTGACATTTAGAAATGTATTTCTTATGAAACTATATCAGCACCTTGACTTGCAAGCTAGCGAATTTTATCTGCTGAAACTGTACCTGCTCTGTACAGAACCTAATTAGGTACTTACACATAAAATATTTTCTTCTTCAGGCTGCGTCCTAAAAAAGCTAATGACGCTAGTTGCAGCCGTTAATATTCCAAATTCAAATTAAAAAGGTTGTTTGTTGCGACGATGACAAAATAATGAAAATGAAAACAAATGAAAAATGTTGTACTTATATTTTGATTTTACATTTTCTTTCCGGATGAGGTGCCGTGGTGTAATATTTATATCTACATTATATTAATGTATCAACATTAACTCAACATGCTTTTTAACTACATGAGTACTATTCTCGCATCAAAAGTATAGGTGTAGGTATTTTATTACGTCTCGAGATAAGCAAAGAAAGAAACTTCGTGACAAATTACCAAGACCTGGCGCATTATTGGCTGGTTTGTTTAAAAAAGTTATTTTTAGTACCTATAAGGGATGCTATCGCTCATATCTATTTGACAAATGTTATATGAGAAGATGGTTAAAGATGTTATAGAACGTAGATAGTTACAGCTTGAAGACGAAAATAATCTCTTAATGAAACTGAATGCAAATAGATCTTCATAAACCGTGTGAGTACTAAAAATTCTTCATCAAATGATATGGTCTATTAGTCATGTATGCAGTGAAATGCCCAGCCTTACGCAGGTTCGCTCGTTTGGACAAAAATAATAACGATTTTCATTTCGTAACGTACTTAGTGGAATTGAAATAAATTGTTCCAAATATTTTGTTCACAGGTAGATCCTCCCCCACCTCGCGAGCTGTTCACCTAGCCCCGTTTATTCCATTAACATTGTTGACATCTGCGACACTTGCCGGTAGAAATCCCGAGGTAAGTTTATGTATACGTATATTTATCTTATATTTTACCTACGCAGAACGAAATCTTTGCTATATAAAAGAATACTCCAAGTAAATATCTATTGTAGGTAAGAAGTAAATTCACCTTTTTGCGAATGCTGTTTAGGTTGTGTTTTCTAGTCACTTGCTACAGGAAATCGGCTTTACGCTTCGGTTTACATTTACCCAAGCTTGTTCCTACCGCTATTCCGGATCCATGAAAATCGTGTTTTGGCAGATAAAGTATTCTGGGCTTACCAGTAAATCTGTTTAGGGTACTTACGTAGAAGCTTTTAGAGATGGATTAGTTTTGGATTATTAAAATATACTATAAATAGATTTTCGCTGAAGTCTGATGGATGCAAAAACATAAAATAAAATATTTCCATGGATGAAAATGACTAAAAAAATGTAAACTATTCTAATTCACCTGAAGTACGTATAAAAAGAAACGAGCGGTCATTTCATTGAGAATAACAGCCTGCAAACTCCATCGCTGCATGCAAGGGTCGTGTATAAAAAGGGGTAGAGCGGCGCCTACTTAAGTCTCACTCGGTCCCTTTGTACCTCTTGTGTGTTTTTGTCATGCTACAGAGTTAAAACTCTTGGAGCATTTACATGACACTTAGGCTCTTTTGAAACAAAAAAGAAAGCGCTTCAGAATGTTGAATCAGTTTAGAAGATATTATGGTTGTTTCACCTGAGATTTACAATATCTATACCAATAACTGCCAATTATTTAGTAAAAGTAATAGGATATATAATATTGGATACACGCAGCTAAGGGAACAGATGATAGTTTTCTGTCGTTTCATAATTTCACTTCAGGTTATTGCGTCTTCTCTAGGTATAATAACAATCTAGGCAATGTCTTCTGAAAAAGAAGCTTTAATATGAGACCAGTGGTAGGAAAATCTCGGCGAACATTTTAATACACTTTTGCATGACAAAACTTATGCTATTAGTGGTTATAACACATAGCGGACACTTACAGAATTTGCAGCAATAGTAATAAACAAGTGTAGTGTGTTTTATCGCAATAATAAATGTAAGCTGCATAGTAGGTATGCTAAGATATAAAAATTCCCTTGCTGAAATCAACTACATTATATTGTAGGCAACTTTAAGCGAGTAAAGTTAGTGGCTGTTTCAGCACTATTAAAGCCATACAAGTTCTTGATAAACTTTTGTGGCAAATATGTAGTTCTAAATTCAAATTACGTTCTAAATTCAAAATCATATGATACTTAGCGTTTACCCTTAGCGTGTTAAAATTATGCTAAAGTACCTAGTGTCTAAATATCAAAGGTCGATGGATAATATGACACAAGACTATTAAGGGCCATAATTAATAACCGACCTTAATATAAAATATCTGGATAAGCCTTCATAGGTATTTGTCAAAAACTTTATAGAAGTAATGACTAACTTCAATCTAAAGATATTTGATTAATATTCGTTATTAAATTCGGCTTATTCATGAAACTGAAATTAGTTTCCTAACAATAATAGTTTTTTTAACAAATATAGTATAATATGTTGTACAACATTGTATAATAAGGTCTTCTTAGTAACAGAAAAAGCAGGCTATACTTATAATAAAAATATTATAAGTATAGTAATGAGAAAATATGTTACTGAATTGTACCTATAGTTTTTCCTTCTTTGTACATATAAGTATATTTTTCAACCAGTCTTATTTCGTTGCCTTTATTAGCCCGTGGAACGAACACATGTTGAGTTTTTTCTCGTTAACCGAATATCATTGTCACAGTATTCTGTATATAATATGCTATGATGAAATTACCAAACGTACGTGGTTGACATTATACAAGAATATATGAATAAAGGTATTATATTTTCCGTTAACGCCTAGTAGGCATTGTATTAGTATCTAATAAATGTTCCGTTATTCTAGTCAAAATTCTACTGAAGTCATGAAGGACTTGTTTTTATGACTAATTTTACATATAATTTTAAATGTCTCCCGTGTATATTATAGGTATATGTCCCGTATATAGTCTTATCTAACCTAACCTATGTGAGTATATGTACTTACCTATAGTTTTGTAGTTTATAAAATTTTATAATTAACACCAAAAGTACGCATGCGTACGGCTTGTGAGGTTAAATTATAACAAGTTAGTAGTTTTGCTAAATTGAACCCAATTAACATTGTTTCATAATTGTATTTTGATAAAAGGGGGCGGCAAAATAGAGCGTTCGGGGTGCCCTGGGATCTGTGGCCCGCAGGCCGCGACCACATCAACCCTGTCTTTCTCAAGCTTCCGAAACTCCTTCACCACCAATGTCAATTACCTGAAACGAAGGTAAGTCCCTAGTTTGCATGTTAACTGTCTCTTTACTAAACTTCCTGTTTTGGTGTATCTATAAACTGTAATGCATGACTTGGAGGCTTATACAGTCTTTCCATGTTTCTTTTGATGACTGTTTTATGGACTACCTCTACCTTTGTTAAACGGATGTCAGTTTAAGCAAATTTCTGTAACAATATGTTAAATTGAAACTTCAAGAGTTATTATTTTCTTAATCGTTTCTATTTTCTTCTATTTAGTACTTAGATAAATAGTTGAGTTAATTTGTTGTTATTAACAAATTGGATTTATAAATCATGTTTTATATGAAAATTAAGTTTATAATTTAAGGATAAAGCAAAATTTATGACACCGTAAAAAGCCCGAACCGCTTCACCGCGCTGCTTCCACCCCTGTCGGCACAAGCCCCCCCGTAACCCGCGTCCCCAACCCCGGCTCCTGACCCCCGCTCCACTTAACATACCGTGTAGCACCACTCATCAGCCTCGACTGTGATTGTATGTGACCATTTCACTGCTGCTATTTGTTGTCGATGTTATCTTACAACAAATAACAGTTCTGACTACCTGCATTCGGTGCATGGCGCTTTCCTCCGATGTCATTGTCGTGATTCGATGTTGCTGCTAAACAAGTCATTGTTACAGCTGGAATATCGTTTTTCTTTAAACTGTTACGTTCTCTCCGACATAATGAGATTTACTAATAAGATAGAATAAGCTTCTCAGTTGTCAGCACTGTAGGAGATCATTCTGATTTAGTGAGCTTGTTGGCAATGATGGCAGTGTTCACGTTGATTGGCGAGTTGTTAAGGCTAGGTGACCATGAGTGGCTACATTGCGTGTGTCGATTTTGTCCCTCCTCTGCGTGTCCCTGTAACTTGGCGCGGCGTGGCGGTGGCGTGCGGCGTGTAGTTCAGTGGAGGCGTTGCGCAGATTCAGCTCGGGGGACCTGCAATCCGAGTGCGATGAAGGCGAGGTGGACCCCTACACCGGCCGGCCGGCCACTACCAGCCAGCCGAAACCGCAGAGTCAAAGGCCGACCTCCCAGGGTAAGCTCTCAAATTACAAATCTAAAAGTTATTAAATTTGCGATGAATCAATATATACACATAACTTTCAAATGGTGAAACTTATTAAAGAAAAGCTTTTCACAACAAATACATAAATTCGAGTTTAAAAGTTACGACTTATATGGTATGACCTGTTTATTTGAAAATAGCCACCGGGGGCAGCATTGGTAGCGCGTCAGGACCTCCTCCGGCGCCGTCCGCAACCGCGGCAGCTGCGGCGAGTAGTGGAGGGGATCTCTCGCTTAACCTGCGGGGAGGATCGCGCGGTACATCCGCACCTTCCTCCCCGGCCAAGTCCCGGGAGTCTCTTCTCCAACGAGTACAATCTCTCACTGGCGCCGCAAGAGATCAAGGCGCCAATTTACTAGGTAACGTATGTTTACAGCCTTTCCCACGGGACTCGCTTTTACAGTCGACTGCCTCAAAATTTGGGCTTTATCTTCATAAGATATGGCTTGGGAAATGGGGAACAGAATTATAAATGCTATAAAAATGTTGGTCATTTCTATGTACCTATGACTTATAATATGACTGTTATATTGCTGGTCAAATCAACATATGATTGCTTTAATTTTCATTGCTAAAACTTTTTAAATACTTAAAAAAACTCCCTGTCTTTTTCATTCGTTCCTAGTTAATTATATTATATGTTCATCACAGTATTTCCGAGTATTTCTCCATAAATATAAAGGTGAATTTCTTTTCCCAATAATCCTTGAATGTGTACAAGTGCGTGCGCTTCGCAGCTCAATAATTGTTTTTTTAGGGAGTGTAACATCTGTGGCGTCTGTCGGCCGTGGCTACAACCGGGACCGATGTGTTACGCTGCTTGTGGTGGATGACCAAAACACCGACTGGTCTAAGTACTTCAGGGGTCGCCGTCTACCTGGCGAGTGGGACATCCGCGTCGAACAAGCTGAATTTAGGGTGAGTATCGGCTATATAGTTCAAAACTGCGGTTTATCATGACTGTCATAAAAACTGGACAAAAAACCTCGTCTCTTTCTTTATGAGTTATAGAGGTACATACCCATTTTACAGAAAAACTGATATATGTATATGTATATGATATGAAATAAATTTATTTATGCACAATATACATAGGTACTTGTGGAGGCTTGTAATTAGTGATTTGATCATAGATACATATATTTTTATAGACACTGTTTTATTAGTCTGTAAACCTTCTGTAAAATTAAGTTTAAATAAAACTATAATCAGTTGCATTTATCACTACATGTTACATCCCTATGCCCCGATGTATTATTATTTTTTATTTATATACGTATTATTATATTGCTTATTTTTTTTAAAGGGGATAGTTCATATATATTTTATATCCATTAAATAGTGGAGAATATAGAATCAGAATGACAGCCGTGTCGGGGCGGGTTGCTAGTAATAAATTAAATAATGACAAACTTATTTTCTAAAAATCGTGGTAGCAACTGGCCACTTATAACGTGTTGATCAATTATGTACCCTCTTCATAAAATAGGTGTTGTAGAACAAACTATTGCAATATTCAGACACACTGCCCACCACCCGTGTCAACGTCACGTACCCGTATGTTCCCCTCAACTTATTAATTATTACGAACAGTTAACATTCCCCAACAACGGCCATGAAATCTTTTTATAACATCTTTATGAGATGCCCATGATATGGAACCTCGTTTCAACAAATCCTGTTAGGAATTAATGGCGCATTACTTTTGAAAATATTAATATACCTATTATTTTGATCTAATCTCAACGTCGACGCGTCTGTATAATAAGCGTAGCTTTGTAACAATGTGTCATAAACAAAATGAATCAACCTGAATGAATTAAATTTAAACCTTTTTCGTTTGGAATTTCGTTGTAGTACTTATACTTATTCCTAGTATAATTCTGCTTATAAAGCAAATATCGCCAAGTTATGTTAAACCTATTTACAACATAAAATACAATTTAAAATCTGTCTTTACGTAAAAGTCTCAATACGTATTTAAGTAATTCTTGAAGGGCAAAAAGTATCAAAGTTGGGAGCTTAAGTCAAAAGGGATAATCAAATCGTCCCGTCCCTTTATTAGGAGCTTCCAACAATTTGTTATATAACTTGAATCGTTTATTCGGCACAGGAATTGACTGTGACGGCCAATTCTGATGGAGCCAACGTATCTATGGCGGTATATCGCAGCGGAACCAAAGTGACTCGATGTTTCAAGTAAGTAAAACAGTGATTATAGTACTTAAGAGATATTCTACGATACATTTTCTTAAAGAATATACCGAGACGCTTGCGCCACCAACTTGCTTAATTAAGAAACACTCATTTAAAATTCGAACACAAATAACTATTGCCCAGGGAATTTGCAGGAGAAATGGTAATATAATTAAAGTTTTAATGGAGATTTAATAATGAGATTCGAAAACCTCTCGCAACAAGCTTACTTAGTTTATAAGTTGAACGATGAGATAATCTGAGTGGAAAACAAATATACGAACTTGTTCTATTTATAGATGAACCGTTTTGATGACTCAAGGGTGGTATGAAATGATACATTGTATATGGAAGTTTGTAACAACTTTTGTTTGCGTTGTCTTTTCTGATTGAAGTGTGGGCGCTCCATGATTTACATAATAATAGAGAACCAATAACTAAGTTTGTTCAAACTTGTGTATACTACTTCCTATCATGGAAGGTGCTTAGAAAAATATTTGTATGTCGCCGTCACTGGATGACTACTATTGGTGAAGCTTCTTTTTGAACGTGTTAATTCGCAGTCAAATATTACAGTGAATTATTAATATTCAAAAAGCTAGTCGGAATTAAATTTGTTCCTTTCATTACCAACTGCTTTCTTTTAATTCTGTGTTTTAACCTTTTCCCTTTAAAGACTTAATAAGAAGGGTTTTTAGTTATATTTAGGATATTACGCTCAAATAATTATTATTTCAATTTCTACTAGGCCTGACTTCGTGTTGGTGAGGCAGAATGTTCGAGATGCTGGGGCTGATCACCGAGCCTTGCTACTCGGTCTAAAGTTTGGCGGCGTACCATCCATCAACAGCCTTAATTCAATCTACCACTTCCAGGTATTTTAAACGTTAACCTGTGTTCAGTACCGACGCTTACCTACTCTACTATATAAAAAACTCCATTAATTTTGACTTTATTGTAATATCATAAAGACGATAATCTATTAAAGAAACTCGGCAGATTTAAGTAGATTTATATGCCGGTGTGTCCCAGGCCTTGGAGAGTAAAGTTAAATTAGCTGGATAATAATACACGTTCTGTTTGTTTAGGACCGTCCATGGGTGTTCGGTCATCTCCTCCAACTACAGCGGCGTCTTGGCAGAGAGAACTTCCCTCTCATTGAGCAGACCTACTACCATAACCACACCGATATGGTAAGTACCTGTATCTTATACTCTACCTGCAGGTTCTTGAGTGAGCAGCTTACAGCCGTGCAACTTTGCCATTACAATTTTACAAGGCACGGGGTAACATGCAATCTTCGACGTGAAACATTCAAAGACAACAAGATCCATTTAAATTTCTTTATTTTAACCTATTTTATCACTATAATTAGTTAATTTACAATCATTAACTTAAAAATAAATAATACAAAAATAACGTTACAACTATCATTGCCTCGAAAGACAAAACAACAATTTAGAAGCGTCCAAAAGAAAAATCACAAATTAACAATTTTCGAAGACTTGCAATCAATAAATTCGCCACATTGCCAATAGAGCTAATTTAACTTCTCAGTTCATACACACAACATTCAACTAAATAACTTAACATCGAAAATGAATCTAATGTTATTACAAATAATGTTTGGTTTAGTATAACAGCTGCTCTGTTGCGTTCGATTAGTAATGGGTGTGAATGATTTTGTAATTTTTCACGAGGACGACGTAATGAGATGTTCAAAAGGTACATTTTAGAGTGAACTTGGGCATCGTAGTGATGAATCAAGTCATGGTGCTATTGAAGTGCGTCGCTTGGAGGCACCTCGTGAGAGCGGGAGCCCTGCAACATAAACACACGCGTTGAGTGACAATTAGCAGCCCACGTAGCACCAGCAATACTAACTGTACTGGTGGTGCCGAACATCAAACGCGAGCCTGTTTACGACTGTAACGTGTTCCCCATATCACAAACGCACAATGACAACGTAGGTGTTTATTCGAATTTAATACTGTTTGAAATGTGAAACGTTCTGTTTTATAATAAGGATTTCTCGAGTGTTTATAAAATAGCTCTGAATGGGAGCATAAAATTGTTCATTGTGTGAGTAATCCGGCTTGGCACACAGAGTGCGAATTAGCAGTATGCGTCAAGGTTGCATATGAAATTTAATGTTTACAATTCGTTCAATGTATTAAATTAAAGAGTTTTAGGTAACATGGTTTATACTTTTGTTATTGTTTGCATGTTAAACCTAGGTACCTAAAAATATTTACGAGGGAAATTACCACGCTTTTTCTATATTTACATTATAAACACAATGACTGCATGATTGTTCTCAGAATAATAAAATCGGTGACTTGTCATTACCACAGTAACTAACTTAAAATAATACCTACTTAGTCTGTTTATTTTTGATACATAAGTCAAAAATATTTCTATGTTTTTTGTAAAAACTCTTAAATGGTTCTGAATGAAATTCGGCCTAGATAGTCTGGAATAACATACATATACACATAGACTTTTTTCACCCCGGTGCTGGGACAGAAGCCGCTGGTAGAATGTAGTATTAAATAACGCCGTAAATAAATAATAAGTGATTATATTTACCTAGTCCAGCGGCACCGGTGTTCGCGGTCATGGAGGCAGATGCCGTGTCGCTCGTAGCACTCGTTGTAGCCTGTCGTGCAGGCGTTCGGCGACTTGGACCGCCGTCGGTTCATGTGGACCTGCCATAATTAACATATTAATCACCTTAATTCGTCGAAACCCAAGCAAGCGCCGGCGTTCACCCATCTATTGTTTTACTATTGTGTCTCGAATTACCACGATCAAAAGGTTAAAGAAAAATAAACCTAACCACTATTTATTTCCGTCGGTAATGAAAGAAAGAAATACATGCTACGCAACATTGTAGCAAAAAGTCTAACCAACAAATAAATCCGATTTCGTACTTTTGCTCGGATCAACCGCTATTTGATCGCCCTAATCCTTAATAAGGGATATTGAATTTTATAAATCGGTTTTACATAAGTAATCTTCGCTAGCTGACATTTACAAGCGGCACGCATAGTTTGGTCGACGTAGTCGTTGAATATCAATAAGCAGTGACTTGGAAGCTGTAATGTATGCTTCACTCGGAAAAATATTCATGTTACACATGAGTGATACGATTCGGAAAACGAGCGAGAAGAAAATAAGGAAATTGGTTCTTATTTCGAGAAGTTCTACATACATTTAAGTTCGTTGCTACAATTTCTGCATATGTGCAAAACTGCAAAACTACTTGTTTACCGTTGCCACTGGTTCTAAATTTCAAATAACTTTTATACTACATACAGTTTGCGAGTTAAGCCAACTAAGATATCTTATACAAAAGTTATTGCATGCAACGTGAAAACGTTATCTTTGGAATTAAATGTGTACTTTGTATGTATTCCTTGCTTGCCGTAGGAAAGTTTCAAACTAATGCAGCTGTTTGGTCGCTACTTACAAAATTCGATCTTTCACAATCTGCCAGGTACGAGTGCAATAAGTCGATAACTTACTTTGCAAGTGCAACCCTGCTTGTAGAGTAGACGGAATCCTTTTCTTTGACGAGGTGTGACCTCACGCCATTTGCTGACGAAACCACATAAGTGCACGTGAGCTTCCAAGTGAACTACTCGACCTGGAACATGGAAAGGGAGAATTATGAATATTATGATATATTTGTAGCTTTTGTTGAGGTGCGCTAATAACCCGTCACAGTCGTTTCATCATAAATCTTCCACGTAGACGACTTGTAACAAAATAATAAATGAGTTTTCTTTATTCTACGTAGAAAGTACGCCGTAACTCAAAGTTAACACGAACATCCCTATTTTACATTTCTTTTATGGTAAATCCTTTTATGCCTTCCAGTTCCACCCACCAGGTCCATTTGGAATCAGGACAATTTTTCAATGAATAAATTATTCGGACAAATTGGACGACTGCAAAGATAGATTCTTGATTCAATGCCAGGAAGAAATTAAAACTTCGGAATCGATTTGAATTTTGTTGCTTACCGTAGCAGCTATATCCGCATTACATGGTAACATGTTTAGCGACGCAATTGCTTAATAGCAGGTCATGATTGTTTATACTACTTGGCTTTATTAGACAATGTTTATTGTGTTACAAAGTTAAATTCTAATGAGTCAAGCAAGTCTTAGGTATTGAGCCCAATGTTTGCGTTGATGTAGTTGAGTTTAGGCGATTAATGTCAGCTTAAAATTCCTTAAAGTAGTTAGTTGGTCATAACATGCATTTGGAATTTTATTTGTTCGTCTTGTATTGTGTGCAGTACGCAATAAATACTCTGAATGTTTCCTGGTTTGCGAGCTAGGCTCCGTCTCGAGCACTGTCAACATTTTACGTTGGAGCAATATCGATCCTGCGAGGCTTACTTCAGGTAAGCCGGCTGCGGGAACAGAGTTTATCCCTTGAATTGACTTGAACATTCGTAATATTCTCGGCGACATCTTATTAGATCGTAGAGAGAATATTCACCTGTAATAACATAGGTCTCCCTCGGCTGTAGGCTCACGCCACACAAGGAATCCTGAGACGGTGTTAATAGGCGGCCGGATTGCAGAGCCACCTTCGCTTTTGGTGTCGCCTGCAATACAATTACATTATCTTTAGCTCACCAAGTAAATAGAACAAGTTCTCTAAACTTTCATTTAGAACAAACACGTTAGTCCAGGATCAAGCTATTGTATTCAAATAAGCATTGTAATTCAGATGTGTAAAAGTACCTAACTCGTTATTACGTCCAATCTAAATATTTTAGTACTTACTTTGTAAGTGTTTCGAATCTTCAATTTGTATGCGTCGTAAAAATCTTTGCCACGAAACGTCTTCTGTACTCGACCAACGATCACTGAAAAAAAATCGATGAACCCAATTATTCCTAGAGTTTATTATGAATTTCAACGAAGGTTACCTAATATTTGGCTAAAATTGTGTATAAGTAAATTTAATCAAAATTAATTAAGTTTACCAATATTCGCTAAGTCTTTGAAATATGTTATTTGATCGTACGTAGATTAATTAAGTATTTACCGTAATTAATGTAACGTACCGAAATCGCTGTTACAAAAGTGTGTCTGTGGGTGTGCGGGCGGGCACGTGCAGGCGTCGGCGACCCGACAGCACGCCACCACCAGCGCCAGCGCCAACCACCTCGTCAGCATGCTATATCTGATACTCTGCAACAAAACAACGCTGTTGTAGGAGGACTCGACACCTTACTTTACTCCAAAAAACCTACTTTTCACACACTTAAACACATTTAAGTGTGGAAGAGATAAGGTTCGGCAGGACTGGGTCGAATCGAACGGAGTGATACCATGGCCTCACAAAAACCGACGTGAAATAACCACAGCGTTGAGTTTAGCTCTCGTAACTTCTCCGTTGTTGCGGGTTCACATGGGCGGCACTGATTGCTTACCATCAAGTAATCCGTCCAATCCGACCACATGAAAAAACATCTTCACACACAACATAACTGATAATCAAAGAATTACATTGTTTTGTAGCATTCATTGATCAAATAAATGAAATGGTAAATGCTATCAGATCGACAGCAACAATACAATACGACAGTTCCTGATTCCTACCGCTGATGTGTATGTTGTTCTGCCATTATAATTAACGATCCGTTTCGAATTCGACAAAGTTTGGCGCACGTACGTTCGTACATGCATGTTGTTTTGAGTAACCATCTTACCGACTACACTCGTAAAACAAGATGTAAAGAACTCTTACGAACTTTAATGCAGTTAATTTTAGTTGTCCGCAACGTAGGTTTATAGTTTACGTATTTATATACATACTTAATATATCTTCTATTATTTCTGACACATCGTTACGGCGTCGATTAATGAAACGCAGTCAACTGTGCGATAAACAACATTGGTTTAGGAGTTTAACAAGTTCAAAATTGTTAATACCTATCATAATAAATGCTCATTCAATATGTGTTCTAGATCCATAGTTGAAATGCCTTTACCAATTACGTTCGTTCCACTTAAATTACCTAAGAATTACTTCAATACATTATCTACAATGAAACCTGAGACTACTAATTTATTACAGCAAAGGTCCGAAGTCCAAGCAATAGAATTGCAATAAAGCATCTTGTGACATGTCATTACATTCCATTGATCGATATTCCAATAAATTAAATAGAAAGCTGTTTATGAAGGCATCTAATATAATCTCATAAGTGATATAAGACTTCACACTTTAAATTAATTACGTTTGCGAAGGAACCCATCAATTTGTATCGCGGGCGAGGCGAGGCGAGGCGAGAGCATGTTACGGATAATTTATTAGCTTAACCACCTCTGGGCTACTGCGCGATGATGTTCGAGTTCGAGTACTGTGACCTATTTACATCGCACCGAGTCTTGTTTTTGTTCCATTGATACTTTGTTGTTCTATAACACGGCGATAAACTTTTATTACCGCACCTCTATTTTTTGCATTGACGAGAATAACCGAGCCGCCATCGCCATGTCATAACCTCGTGTCCATTGTTACTTTGTACCGGGATTGTTAAAGCTTATCCGACTCTGAGTGACTAGAGCGACGTGTCTACAGCCACGGATATTGTTACACGAGAACTTCTTTTATAATTGTTGACGTTAATCCGTTTTGGTCACATTAACTCACGCCCTGTGATTCTTTTGTAAGAGGATTATACTAGTTTTACATTTAAACTCGGTGATTCCTTATGAGGCGTGCCCTATCCTCATTTTCAAATGTGAACAAAACTGAAGTACCATGAATGTACGTACATAAATATACCTATATTGTATAAGAACTGATTGGATATCAATATGGGACATGAGACCTTCGTGACATTCTCTTATGCATATTTTAAATCCAAACTGCTCAATACTTATCAAACTTTTACTTCTATTTCTATCGGCACGTTAAAATAATACAAATAGTCGCGTCCAAGTCTCTTGTCGACCAAGCGTTTATAATATTTGTGCTTAGTTATTATATGAGGATTAATATAAATATGTTTATAGTTAATGTGTTATTAGGCTTAGTCGGGAACAATGAGCCCTCTGTTACAAGGTTCGCGTGGGAGTTTAACTCGTCGTCTTAGTACGGAAGTGCGCCAGAGTTGATTGCCTTTTCATCACGCAACCTAACCTTTACTTCCATCATAACAAAAAATAATTACAATTTTTTCGGCTATAAAATAATAAAATTAAAACACAAATTAAACTATAGCCATCAATTAACTATAATTGGTCAATAAAAATGACTAATTTAATTTATAGGAGACAGAAGATTGGTTTTAAACGCTACAAGCAATAAAAAGCTTTGTTACCATGTAATTATGTTGTAAATTTATAGCTCAGAGCTAACAATCTGTGGGGATTATTTAAATGCTAATCAAACTTTCTTATTTGTTCTTACATTATTTGGACTAAGATTACATTTCTAATGCAAGTAAAATTCATGCGAACATAATTTAAAAATGGAATAAATAAAATCAATTATAATTTATTAATGTAATATAAATCACCTTAGTTAAAATTCAATTAATCATTAGCGATTCTGCGACAAGCAGCTCTACTAAACATGTTGAGAATATGAATGTCTGGATTTTCTGAACATATTTTCTTGTCTATACCGCACCTGTCAATCAGCGCGCTCATTAAAATTAGATGCACGGTCACTTAATCCCCGATTAAAGTCATTTACGAACTAATGGGAAACTGATGAAATGCAACTGATTAATTACAATTTGTTTCATGTTTAAAATTGAAAGTAAAATCTACTCACATAGATGCGAGATGCACGTCGCATCAGTCACTGCGCTCTGGTCGGAAGAATCCTTACGATTGCGTTTTTATTCAGTGCTCATACCTTTTGTACCCCTACGATGAGTGCGGCATAATCCCGCTCTGTATACAGATTTCGGATACAAATCACAATGCGGAAATTTTATGGGTGCATTCCCATAGTCGCACCCGTGGTTCCGAGCGCGGGCCGCTGCAACAATACCTCGTTTGTCAGGGTTCGTCGGGAAACTTGAGGTGAATGTTGACATTATGTGTTTATACTTGTTTACAAGCATCTAACATAAAGCGCTGAGCACGTTTGTGAAGCAGAAATAAAATTATATTGGTTCCCATCGTAACAGCGTCGATTGTATTAAGTGAACAATTGGACACCATATTCAATATATTTTTTGCTTCGCTGACACAACAATATATTAAAGCACTTCAATGTGTCAGATATTGTTTACAAAACATTTCTTGTCTGTAAAAATAATTTCCTACATTTTTCTATTCGACGATAATGTTTCTCAGAATGCATATCTTGCGGCAACGTTTAAATACAGGTATTTATCACATATCGCAGCTGTTTATTGCATAGTAAAATGTCTAATGTTGCTACGCGTATAATGTTTATGTCCATTGCTTTGTTAAGGCTTAGGGCTTAGGTAACAAACGATTGACCCTATCTATTCTTTGCATGGATATAAACGCTCGAACAATGGGCCAACCTCGTAATACTCGTCTCTTGCCAAAAGATTTTCAAAGATCCTTAATATTATGCTGTGCGACCTACATAAATATCGTCGGGTTGCATTGCTCATATATCATGATTCAAAACAACTATCAACACGTTTTTGTGCCATTTTTTACTCGACCACCAGTAACTGGTATAAAAACTTGACTGACAGGTGTTTTTATCGATAGGTAGCTAATGTTACGGTAACTACAGCTATCTGTTGAAATAAATTGGAACACGTCCCTTCACGGAACCGGAGAGTGACTAAGTGGATAGCGCGTGGATACATCCATTCCATTGTTTCCCTACAAACGAAAAGATAAATCAGTATAACTTTTTATCGGTTGAGGAAAGAGTGTATATCTGGATCAGTATTCGCATTCAGTTTTTCCCAATAGTGTCTTTGAATTTATTTATGCTTGACGGTTGGTAAACTTATTCCCAAATGGCATGCGACAAATTTATATTAAGTGACAGATGAAAAGTGAGCGGTTTTATCCTTTGCTTAGCTATCGGAAAAAAATAATAATCTAAAAAAATACGCGGTACAACATCAAAGTGTTTAATCAATTTAATGTTAAAATTGATAAATTTCGAATTAATTTATTTTATTAAACGGCTTACTCATGTAACAATTTATCGATATACCTCGACTAGTTTCAAGCCACGCTAGGGGTTCATAAATGAGTTGCAATACGTGATAAAAGTCAAAAAGTAGATAACATAATTATTTTGTTTATTATGTGTCACGGAAGATATATTGAATTATTTTAAAATTCAAAGGTATTAGACTATTTAATGTTAAAATGAGACATAAGTATTTAAGAACTGAAAGTCATTCAACGAGTTATATAAAATATTTACCTGTTTATTATATTTATGTGGATACATGAGTAAGTTACTGACATTCTGCGGTTTTCGGTCAAGGCGTGATCTGAATTGCGGTTTGCCCAAGTTAAATAGAGTATTAAATAAGTTACTTTTTGTGTATTGAACTTTTGTACGTGGAATACTTATTACTTGGAAGTTTTGCTTGTAATAATAACTTTGAATATACCTAAGTATTATTTTGATATTACTAGGAAGTTTTAGTAAACTGGAATACTCAATTTTATTTTTACAATTGATATGTAAGTATTTTTGTTTTACAATACAGTTGGTAAAATCTGTTTAAGATGTAGCATAGAAGGGTATTCAAGCCGTCCTAGTGTTCGATCTACACGCAAACTAAACATACCCACTCATTATTATTAGTATAGTATTAGAATCAATAATAGTCTTGCAGATTACAAGTTTGACCGATTGAGCATCAAAGTAATTTTACTGCTTCAGAGAATTTCCTCATTTGAAACCCGAAACTGAAATCTCGCGACACATGAAGCAGTGAATTTTCGATACTTAATAAATATTGCAGTTAGTTATACGGAAGTCATTATGCCGACATTCAGTAGTGGATGTGTTGTGGTTGATATTAAGAAGAAGTTTCAATCAATACTTAAAGAATGTTTGGTTTTGTTTACTTTCTAATAAATCTTATAAACAACAACAAGACAGCAGCTACAATTTATACACTTTTTTATCTATACAGTTGCCAGATTCGAATTTTTATTGAAATACAAGTCGAAATTAAACAGACAGAACATTTTGAAATCTCTTCAAAATTACA